AGTTACATCATCGAGATGATATTCTCTATTAGAAATGAAACTCTTATTTTTGATTATTAGACAACCCTTGAGCTGTATATCATTACTTTTGACATATATTTCAGTGTTTTTAACATATATTTTTTACATATATTTCGGAAACATAAATATTGAAAAAACAAAAAATTTCAGATAGTTGACGAAACTGGTGTATTCTCAGTGTATTCTGGCAGTTTTCCAGCATTTTTCAAACTCATCATAAAACAGTTTATATTGTATGACGAGGATTGTATGACGAAACTGGTGTATTCTCAGTGTATTCTGGCAGTTTTCCAACATTTTTCAAACTCATTTTAAAACAGTTTATATTGTATGACGGCGTAGTATTCGGTTTTGTGACTTCTGATCAATATAACTTCATTTTATATAAAAGTAGGTTAGTATTTTTTAATTGAGATTAAATTTTAATTTGTTTCAAACTTTAGAAGTTGTTTCAAACCCTTATTATTTCACTACGTAAATCTCATAATTTTAAATAATTTTTAAATATTCAATAATAATATTTGAATTGTCAATCATTTTAAAAATCAGTTAAGTAAAACCGAAATGGATTAGAAACGCTGGATTCGCTGCCGTTTGCTTCGGTAGCTAATTTATTCACTATTATCAATTATTAAACTTATATGCAAAGCTTGTCATCACATGACACTGCTAACTGAGAAATTCAATAAATTAGAGAATTCAATAATTAGAGTAAAAGTTATGCAAGCTGATAACTATTTTTTCGTTCTCAGAATGTCACGCATGGGATTATCTTTCGTTGATTTATTCTAATAAATGTATTGCCCATTCACATTTAACAGCTATATCATCTCAAAATCATGTAATATTTTAACAAAACGCGAACAGTTAGGTAGGTAACGAAACTAGTTTGTCACTTGTATGTCACCTCAGGGCACTGTGACTGTTCTCCAACATTTTTCAATCCCATTTTAAAAACTGTTTTCACTGCGCAGTGTCATAGTTCAAGTTTCATCTACTCAATTTTCAGCTTAATATAACCTTTGGAAAAGTTAATCGAAAATTTCTGAATGCGATGTTTCCGTATTTGTTTCAAACACCGTATTTGTTTCAAACTTAACAGTAGTTGATTGAAACCCACATTATTTCACTACATAAGCCATATAACGAGTAGACTTTTTTCTTTCCTAAAAATTACCTACCACTTGAAGAATCAGTTAAATAAAAATTGAATTAAATGCAAGCGTTACGATTTGATAGCTAAATAAGTTACTATTACAAATTATTAAATTTATTCCGGAGGGCCAGAGTTCGATTCCCGACACCCAAGACCTAAGACCTCAATCTTAAGACCCACCGAGTACCTGCGATGTATTTAAGTGTTAAATCTGTGGAATAAAAAGTCTTCTGATCGGATCAGTAACATGGGTACTGAGATCTGGAGAAAATTTCCTTCCCCTTCATATGTATATCTGAATTGAGAAAGTGGCCTCTCGAATGGGGGTGTTGCCATCTATTCCTGAGATTCTGGGCCAAGACATACTTTCAGCTTTGCGCTGCTCTCTTGTCAAAGGAAAGGCGCGCCTTCCTAATTTAGTTCGAGAAATGCCAAAGGCTGTCGAGCTTGTCATGTCCAGGCGTCATTAGAACCAACAACATTAAACTTATTTACAAAGCTTCTCAACATATGACGTTGCTAACTGAAAAATTCAATAAATGAGAAGGTTTAATAATTAGAACAAAAGCTATGTAAGGTGATAACTATTTTTCACTCACTGAATGTCATACATGGGATTATCTTTTGTTAATTTGTCCTGATAAATGTCTAGTCCATATAAATAAATTTTTCTATACAAATCCTATTTATTTATTAGCTGGTTATTATCATAACTTATCAATGTATTTCTCAAAAATATTTACAACAAAATGAACAGTTTTTAAAAAAAATTAACTTAAATTGAAATTATTAATACTTTAATCGTATTATAAGAAAACACCTATGAGCTCATAAAGAATTTATAATTAAAATAATCGGAAAAATTAAACTGAAGATATTCGTTTATAATCCTATACTTTCTCAAACATTTTATTTAAGCTTTTTCGCTGGATAATAAGATACAAACTTTCATTCAAATAAATCGGATTAAAACAAATAAAACATAATATGATAATTTTCTCGACTTGCTCCTAATCTGCATACCAATTAAAAATTATTCACCCTTTAAAACCAATTAAAACAGATAAATATTCCAAATTACGTATTTGATTGCTTCCCAGTTCCTGTTTAATTCTTGAATGCTAATTTGTAACAATTTTCTATTTGGATGATGATGGACTCTGTTACTAATGCTTTTCCGAGTTTCCTGTTTACCCACCAGATGGTAAATCAACCCGAAAATATTTTAATTCCATTGATTTTCTGAGAAATTGATCTTACAAAAGAAAGTATGCATTCAATAATGCTTTAAGCTGCAAAATATAATACTATATTTAATTATTATCGAAATTATAAAAGAAATTTATGAAACATTCTATTCAATAATAAATTACAAATCTATATTTAATTCCCGATTACTAATTTTAACTTTTTATTAAAAAAAATTGACATAATAATGTGATTATTAATTATTATCTAATTATTGAGGTATTTCTTTGAAATCAATAGATAACTAGTTCAAATAACATAATGTTATTTGAAACTTTATTTCAGATTTCAGTGTAAACTTACATATTATGTATTTACTAAATCTTTAAGCTACATACTATAAAGTAATAATACTATAATTAATTATTATTGAAATTATAATTAAATTTTCATAAAATATTCAATTAAATAATAAATTACAAATCTATATTCTCATCCACAATTAATAATTTTAACTTTTAATTAAAAAAAAAACAGTTTGGCAAAATAATTTGCTTTTAAATTCATTTTTATAATATTTCTTTGAGATCAATAGACAACTAGTTTAAATAATATAATGTTATATTATACTTTATTTCAGATTTCAGGGTTACTAATATTGTATTCATTTAATAAAGTTTTAAGCTGCAGAACAGAAATGCAAAGAAACATAATTATTTAATATTGTAATTATACTTAATAATTGTATGGAACATTCAATTCAAAAATAAACTACAAATCTATATTCTGGTCTACAATTAATAATTTCAACTAATTATATAAAAATATTTAGCAAAATTACCTGGTTATATATTAGTGAAATTACAAATCTCTACTCTGATTCTCAATTAGTGATTTTAACTATTTATAAAAAATTAATTTTCAAAATAACCTAAATATTAATAATCGAGGAGTGTTTCTTCGAAATCACTAGAAAGCTAATTTGAATATTAAAAAGTTATCAAAAAGTATATCTGATATTTCAGTATAACTGAGATAATAAACATTCAATGAAGTTTCAGGCTGCGGAGTATAAATGAATTATTCTATAATTAATTATTATTATAATTATAATTAATAATTTTTTAAGCATTCAGTTCAAAAATAAACTGCAAAACTTTTTTCTGATCCACAATTAATAATTTTAATCATTAAGATCATCAAAAACAATTAATCATTTAGATTAGTGGATTTTTTTAGTTGTTAATTAATTGAACTAGATAATTAATTATTGAAAAGTATTTCCTTAGAACTAATAAAAAAAAATTTGAATATTATAATACAACATTCATAAACATGTCAAAACTGTGGTCTCCCGATTGTGATGATCTTTTATCCATCTAATAATTTTTGCGTGTTTGAGTAACAGTCAAAAACTGATCATCGTTTGAAACCAACTGAATTCGATGTGTTCTTAAAACATCTCACGTACAGAGTGTTTTCAATGGAGGTGATATTTATCCATCACTTAACCCCTTTTCCAGTTACAGTTGGAAATTACTCACCGTTTGAAACCAATTAAATAAATGAGTTCGTAAACAGATTATGAGCAAAGAATTTCCAAAAGAGATTACCTATAATCTATATCATAAGTCCCAGTACATTGAAACACTATTCACCGTTTGAATCAATAAATTCGTAAACATGTCATCTACAGTGGATTACCTATTGAAATGACTTATTATCCACCTCATAATCCCCTGTGTTTGAGTAACAGTAAAAAACTGATCGCCGTTTGAATCGATCAGTTCTTAAACAGGTCAACTCTAGTGGATTTCTTAAGAAGATGCTCTGTTTACGGACTCATTGTTTTAATTTAACACCCTAATGATCGGTTAATTTTCAAGAAAACGGTCATAAATGTGCCTGTTTTTTTTATCACTGAAAATGACATAAAAATATGTGAATGAACAATATATATATTCATTTTTAATTTTTGATTTGTTTTTAGCTTGAAATTTTAAAAAAGTAAATTTTAAAGAAAAACCAACATCCAACAACTATGCAATGTTGGTTTTCCAACAAGCAAGGAAAATGAAAAAAATATGTGTTTTAAACATTAAAAAAGCATTTTATTAAACTTATGTATAATATAAATAAAGATTAGTGATTTTTTCCTGTGTGATAAATTTCAAAGTATTACAAAGGCCAACGTCACAATTTGGAAAGTAGTATCGAATTTCCTTCCTACATCATTTATAAACTAACCATCTACAATTTACCTTAACAATATCCTGGTACTGCCATATGGTGTGTAAAAGGAGAAATAAAATGTTTTCCGGGCAAAAGAAATGAATTAGTTTTATTCTTATTGGCGCGTTATTACAGAACACTCCAGCCTGGAAATAGCACACGAGCGAGAAATAGAGGGCGAAATCTCACCCTGTCATTTTCACGGAAGCGAGAAGGAAGGGGTCAAACAAATTAATTTTCGAAATTATGTATCAAAAATATTTCTTAGTAATAAGGTTAAGAACAGTTAAATGATCTAATTGACACTTCTTGTTTTACTAATTGCTAATTCCAGTTTCTGCTCAGTTATGCTAATTATGCTCAGTTATGCCAGTTATGCTAATTTGTTAAAATTTTCTCTTAGGTGGTTGATGATGATGGATCTTATGATAATGCTCTTCTAAACTTCCTGTTTGCCCGCCAAATGGTAAACCGACTCCGAAATAACTTGGACGTCAATGACCTCCAGAGGAAACGATCTTACTGGAAGCAGTGTGCATTCAATGCGGTTTCTTGTTTCGGGAAAAAATAAACGTCTGAAAAATCCTGAAAACAATATTGTTTATAAATATTATAATTAACTCTCATTAATTATGCCTGTGTAATTTAGAATAGAACTTTACAAATATGTAATTCTATCTGTAACTATATGTAAATCATTTTTCATTGTCTTTTGACTGTTTGATGATTTGATTTAGTTATTTAATCTTAAAGTACCATCCACAATATCACACAATTCACAGTTTTCATCGCAGAAAAAAATATTACATTTATATCGAGGTATAAATTCATTTTGAATATGAATTTCGGTCGTAGTTTTAATCGAATACTTTGAATGTATTAAAATACAGAAATATATAATTGATTTAAAAATTTCAACTATAGTACTTTTGGAATAAAATAATGATAATGATAATCAAACAATCACTGTGTTAATATTCTTAATCATATCACCTTATTATTCAGATTCTTATCAGCGTCAATATATTATTATTATTATTATAACAATATTTTTAATTGTTATCAAAGTCTTCACAAATTTTAATACTTTTAGTGCAAGCAATACATTGTATTTACATAATACCAGCAAGATAAAAAAAAATATGCTTACGTAGGCTAATTTTGAGTTTATTTTGAATTACTTTACTTACTATAACTTTTCGCTCATTTTTTATATGGTAATATTTCAAAATTTAACTTTGTTTTTTAAAAGTTAAAATTCATCTTTGCAACCTTTTATTAAAATGTAATTTTTTAAAAAAAAACGAAAGTTCAAAACTATACAATTTACTTTTTATATTAATTTCAAATTGGTACCAGCTCACAAAAATTGCACTCAGACTAAGATTGAAGTTTAAATAGTAAATGAATTTTCAGCAAAAGAATTATACAAATAATAGAAACAAAACCTTCATAATTTTTTTTCAAAAAATTAGACAAGGAGATTTTAATTACTTGATGTTATAATCAATTATGTTTTGTATGATATTAAATAATTAGCAAATTACTCAGAATTACAGCATAACTCTGTTGTACTGTAAATTCCCTTCAATAAATTTTCTTTCAATGGACACCAAATTGTTAATTTAAAGATTAATGTTACAAATTACATGGTTAAAGTTATTTTAATTAAAAGTTGTCTTCAATGAAATAACTTGGTTGCATTAATTGATTATATTATATGAATTCATAGTTATTCAAGAAAAGATTTTAAATGAATACTATTAAGTTATTTATATATACTGTAAACGATTTGTCTTATCATTTTTCTGCTGTCTTAAACTTGAAATAAATGATTTATCGCAAAACTCTTCTTATTTTCAATTATTCGCTATTCTATTCACAATAAAAAAAATCACTTAAGACCATTTCAATTAAATAATCTTAAGATAATCCAGTTAACATTATTTTTGAAATTTTATTTTCAAAATATTCCTCTTATCTTAAGAAATGCTTAAAACAATTTATTCTAAAATTTTTAGTTACAAGGGAAGGATGGTTTTTGATAAAAACAAACTTTTAAATTAGATAGTGGACGAAAGGCAATGGGCAAGTCTCGTTAAGGCGTTCTCTTAGGAATGACTTGAACGTCACGTTAAAAAGATGCAACAATATTTGAATTGAGAAGATGGAGCCGTGGTGGCTCAGGGGAGAGAACTCTCGCCTCTCAGTGAGATCCCGGGATTCAAATCCCAGCGATGACTGATCGATACGCACCCGGCTTGCACAGACTACAGTTCTGACGAAAAACATCCTCAGTGGTAGACGAATCATGGGTTAGATTCCCCATGCTGTCAAGCTGACCATGGTAGTTTTTCATTGCTTCACTCTCCATGTGGCACAAATTCCGGTAAGTTCCATCAGAAAGTCTCCCACAAAGGCAAATTTTTCCAAATACAATCTATAACAAAAAAATCAACGAACCAAGAAGGAGTTGCCCGATTGAAACGAAAATTGGGGGATGGGAAGAAAATGTACAGAATAGTAAATGATTAAAATTTCAGAACAATTGAATAATTTATTGTAGAGTTACAGTAACAAGTTCAATAAGGTGTTGACCCTCCTCTAGCCTGGATACAAGCCGCCACACGGCGTGGCATAGACCGATAAAGCTCCCGGATGGTCTCTTGCGGTATTTCCTGCCAAATTCGATCCAATTGTCGAACGAGGTCATCAACATTCCGTGCCAGATGCAATCGCCTTCCCATCATATCCCAGACATGCTCGATGGGAGAGAGATCTGGTGATCTGGCAGGCCAAGGAAGAGTTTGACAAGCTTGCAGACAGTTCATAGCAACACGTGCCGTATGTGGTCTGGCATTGTCCTGCTGAAAAACCAGCCCAGGGCGCTGCAAAAGGAACGGTAGCAAAACAGGTCTTAGGATGTCGTCGACGTACCGCTGTGCAGTAAGTGTACCTCTAATGACGACCAAAGGGGTCCGGCTGTCAAAGGAAATGGCAACCCAGACCATAAAGCCTTGTTGAGGACCGGTGTGGCGTGCAATAGTGAAGACAGGATCCCCCCTCTGCCCTGTGCGTCTCCAAACACGTTTTCGATGATCGTCAGGGCACAGTTGGAAGCGGGATTCGTCGCTAAGGACTATACGTCCCCAGTCGGCATCATTCCAGTCATATCTGTTAAAAACATTCATGCATACGAAATTTCAAAGCAATCGGATGATTGATTCTTGGTGCGTCGATTTTTTTTGTTATAGAGTGTACTTGACGACCTAAAAGTGTTCCCTTGTGTTCTATATTGGGTTCAAAGTTACAAAGCTACGGAGTTGAACATAGGTAGTCGTAAATTCACAATTTGGTAGACTGTTCAACGGCGATTATAAATTATGAATGGAGAAAAGTTCTTGCGAACGAGTGCGCAAATGACAATCCTGTAAAAGCTGAAAAATTGTCCGTTACGACGCTTATTATAATAAATAATAATAATAATAAGCGTCGTAAAGGCAGACGCTAGTGAAATGCTAGAAAACTTTCAGCATCAACGTCATTCACTGTGTCGTCGGTGTGAAGCCTATATCTTTCTACACAGGGTTCTTTATTTGAGCTATTTGCAGTTATTTTAAAATAATAAAGATTTTTTACCCTTCATCTACATTTTAAGTTTCACTTTCAGGTAGCATACGAATTTTCACAGCTCGCTCTTTTCTTTACGACCCTCCACTGTGTGATGAAATGTATTTACTTTGACAAGTTCTATCACTCTATTACCTTTGGAGTGGATCCACCTCTAGTTTTATAGTTATCAAGGTTCTACCAAAGTGTAATATTTCCGGGAGTCAGCAGCTTGAAAATATCCAAAATTTCACATTAGTCTAAAATTTATTAAATATAGCTTGCCGGATTGGATTTTTTAGCGGCTAAGACTATCGGGTATTCAGAATTTTTGGACTTCTACTTTGAGCTATTTAAAATTATTTGCCATATTATTAAACAATCCCAGTCGGAAAAATTAAACTATTTAAAATTGTGAAGTGAAAAATCACATTTTTGAATTCACATTCAAAAAATGAATTCACTTGAAGTTACAAACCATGCAAAATATTTGTCATATTGAAAAATCACATTGTAAATAATATTTTATTTATATTTATAAAGTATATCATGCATTATTAAAAGTTATACAATCAGAAAATAAGAATCTTTTAAATTTTAAAAATATTTGTTGTCCTATTGAAAAATCTCATTTTTTTAAAAAATAGAGTTATTTAAAGTTGCAAAATACTTACCCTATTATTGGAAATTTGTATTCTTAAATTAAAAGGAAGAGTTACTTAAAGTTGCAAATATATTTCGTATTTTCGTATTTAATATTAAACACAATTTTTAATACACAATTTAATATTCTAAAAAAGCATTTCCCTTAAAGTTTGTAAGTATTTATCAGATTTTTGCAAAATCACATACTTGAAGTCACATCCTATAAAAATGCAGTTACTTAGAGGTAAAAAAAATCTGTGTCATAATATTTCACAATCACATTATTGATGTCATATCATAAATAATGCAGTTAATTTAACGTAAAAAACATCTGCCTTGTTATTGACTAATATCATACTCGAATTCACTTGTTAGCACAAGAAGTTATTTAAAACGATAAAATATTTGTCATATCAATAAACAATCAAATTCTTGAGTTCACATTGTAAGGAATAGTACAATTAAAGTTGATTTCAAAGAAACCCTGCACATAACTCATTACTTACTTTAGTCCAACAGCATAACATTAACAATATCAGTATGATACTTTGGTCAAGACTTTAAAAGCTATTGCACTGGGAAAAAATGAAACCGAAGAATTTTTTATAAAAAAATTGCTCGATAATTTCGTTTTTTAATTTTGAAATTTTTTTGTATTGAATTTTATAAGCTGAAGATATATGCTAATTATAATGAAACTACATTATTTAAAGAATAATTTATTTTTAAACTATAATTTTTAAAACTAGAATCTCTGCTTAATCATTGCCAGGAGAACGGAAAAATTATCAAATGAATGTTTATTTTTTTATTCATCAGAATTAGGGTCTCTTTTACCAAAAATGAAACTATCTTACAGTACAGTATTTTTTTCATTGTATATATATATANTCTGATGATTCTTTCATGGTGTTGCATTTTCTACAAACAGCAGTTTATATATATATATATATAAACGACGCTTTTAATGGTTACAATTTAATAAATTCATAAATTTAATAATAGTTTTTTTCAAATACTCAGTCTATTTGTTTCTGGACATTTTCTCGTTAAAGCACCTGATTATTAAATCCTACCAAAGTTCTTACACAAATTCATTATTTAAAATATTCAAAATACATTCCGAGGGTTTCATTTTTCTGAACAAATCAAAAGCAAAGAATATTTCGTTTTTTTTCCACAGATATGAGAGTCTGCAAAAACATAAAAACACCTCTCAAGACAGCAATAAAAACTCAAATATTTACTACTTGCTCTGTGTGTTTTATAATGCTCAGCTTGAAGACTAATAATAGCAACAAGACTTACGGATAGAATATCATGGCTTCTAGTTATTTCTTTCATCGAGAAGTAGTTTTCCTAGTGGTAGTGGAAAAACAATTTCATTGATACTTGTAAACAAAATGTTTTTAAGATTCCTCTAAATCTTATCCGGAGTGACAACATATATCCCATTTAAACAGACTAATGGGAGATCAAATGTCTCAAGGCTTAAGAGAAGTGAATCTAGATACACATATGTATATACAGAGAGAGAGATACAGAATATAAAATATTTGTAATACTATCAATGGTAAAAAATACAAAGTGTTGCTAAAAAAAACTTTCTCAATTAAAAATTAAATTTAAAAAAATTAATAAAATTTTTAAAAGTGTCTTAAAATTTAATTTAAAAATGTAGCCTTTTTTTAAAACTACATATTCTGATCTATAATAAATAATAGATAATAAAAAAAAATTCTAATCTGTGATTAATGATAGATGGTTCATGGTTGATTCGATGAATTTGAAATTAAACATTGAATATACACTCAAAATATTAATAAAAATAGCAAGAATAAAAAAATAAATTAAAAATAGGGTTAGTAACTATAAATTTTGAAAAAATTATTATTATTATTATTTAGTCCCTCATAATAAAATATTTTAAAAGCATTATCTTCTTTTGAACTATATATTTCCATCGAATCTTCAAATAAAGTACAACATATCCATTTGATTAAAATTCTGTTAAGTTATAAACTTTAAACCATCTGACATTTTAAAAAAAGAAACGAAAGTAGAATTTTGTGTCCTATGTCATTAAAAATTTTATGGGGCCATAGTTAATCTTATTTCATGTATTTTAATATAGCATTGGAATGATTTTACTTAAGTTATTATCGATATTATTTTGAAATCATCTGACTATCTGATTTGATCCTTTACAAGATAAATTGATCAATTCGAAATTAAAAAATTGAAGTCCAAGAACTAAAATTTAAGTACTTCTTGCACTAAAATTTACAACAAGATACAATTCATATGCCAAACTAACATAGCCATTATTATTCCTGATTTAAAAAAATAGCAAAATACTTTTAAAACGCAAGTCTTTGTCCAGTTTTTCAAATATCTCAACAATACATTGATCAATAAACAGTTTCTGTCAATAAAACTATAGCTCTTTTAAACCTTGGATTATGAATTTTTAATTAAAAAAGCTTGTAATCTAACTTCACATGTTTAATTAAATTTTCCTATTTTTACGTTTAATATGTCCAGGTTCCTTTATCCATATTTTTATCAATTTACAAAACTTCGAATATTATTT